AGGGTGAAGCGTGAAAAATAAGACTTTATGAATACTGATTGTATTAGTCCATTTTCATACTGATATGAAGAAATATCTGAGACTGGGTAATTTATAAAGAAAAAGAAGTTTAATGGACTCACAGTTCATCATGGCTGGGGAGCCCTCACAATCATGGTGGAAGGTGAAAAGGAGGAGCAAAGGTACATCTTACATGGCAGCAGGCAAGAGAGTGTGTGCCGGGGAATTGCCCTTTTTTAAAACCATCAGATCTCGTGGGACTTACTTTCACGAGAACAGCATGAGCCAAACCTGCCCCCATGATTCAATTACCTCCCACAGGGTCCCTACCATGACACATGGGGATTATGGGAGCTCCATTTCAAGATGAGATTTGCATGGGGACACAGCCAAACCATATCACTAATATTCCTCCTGATGGTGTTCACAAACATAAAGCCCTTAGCTCAGGCACTGAGGCATAGCAAATAATTTGGAGTAGTAGAAGTAGATTTAATATTAAATATCTACGTTTCCTCATTAGAAAGGTTTATTTGTACACTTGGGTTTCTGCCAAATTGAATTCATCGATGAAAAGAATAACAAATGGTAAAGGATAAAACAAAAATAAATCACATATTGGTACACTAACATATCAAAGGAAGGTAGAAAGTTGTGTTTTCAGCATTTGTTCTCGGAGCTGCTGCAGTCCCACCAGGAAGCTGCTGGCTGCTCCTCCAAGGCTCATGCTGCTCTCTGACAGATGGCGACACACCAACTACATTGTAACTGGAAACTCAAGGGAGATTAGCCTTAACTTCTCTTAATTAAAAATAATAATTATGATACCCAGACCATGAAGAAGGTAGGCTGCCTTCTCCCTAGAATATGTTAAAATGTAAAGAGAGAGAATGGGATTTAATGAGGTATACCACGTTTGACCCAATTAAATCCTCAGTCTCCTGTATCTCAGCCTCCACTTGGCCTCTGAGGCTCATAAATAGTTTTACTGGACTCAGTTCATCAACAAAGCCACAGTAAGGAATAGGTTTCTTGCCCTAGATGCATATTATGATTGACAGTGTAATCTACAAGAATGTGGTGGTGTCAGGAATGCCATGATATATATGAGATTTCTGTGTTGCCTACCAGGCTTCTCCTAATTGTGATAGAGTATTGGGAGTTATAGGGATTGAGATGCAAAACTGTACAGGATGGAGTTAGCCCTTTTTCTTAACATTTACAATAGAAATTTATCAGACTGCACTGCAACATGTTAGGATTGTTTTGTGAAACTTCTGCTTCGTGTGTGTGTGTGTGTGTGTGTGTGTGTGTGTGTGTGGGTGTGGGTGTACCCACTCACATAGCGGATCACAGTGAAAAATCTGTATCTTGCTGTGTATCATGGCAGAAAACCGATTTTGTTTGGAAAAACATGTCTATATCAGATCTACATCATTCATTCTTAACTTTTATGAATCACAAAGCATTTTAAAATTTTTTATATTTTTAACTTTTATTTTCATTTGGGGGCCACATGTGAAGGTTTGTGTATTACGGTTCTCTAGAGGGACAGGACTAATAGGATAGATGTATATATGAAGGGGAATTAATTAGGAGTATTGACTCACACGATCATAAGATGAAGTGCCACAATAGGCTGTCTGCAAGCTGAGGAGCAAGGAAGCCAATTTTAGTCCCCAAACCTCAAAATTAGGGATGCTGACAGTGCAGCCTTCAGTCTGTGGCCAAAGGCCTGAGAGCCCCTGGCAAACCACTGATGTAAGCCCAACAGTCCAGTGCTGAAGAACTTGGAGTCCAATGTTCAAGGGCGGAACGTATCCAGCAATGGAGAAAGATTACTTTCTGGAAGAAAATCAAGTCTGATCTTTTCATCTTCTTCTGCCTGCTTTATTCTAGCTGTGCTGGCAGCTGATTAGATGGTGCCCACCCAGATTGAGGTGGGTCTGCCTCTCCCATTCCACTGACTCTAATGTTAATCTCCTTTGGCAACACCCTCACAGACACTCCCAGGAATGATGCTTTGCATCCTTTAATCCAGTCAATTTGACCCTGAATATTAACCATCACAGTTTGTTACATAAGTAAACACATGTCACAGGGGTTGTTGTACCTATTATTTCATCACCCATGTGTTAAGCCCAGTACCTAATAGTTACCTTTTCTGCTTCTCTTCTCCTCCCATCCTCCCCTCTCATCCCCCACAGTATCTAACATTTTAAAAATTTGAGTAAAACCATGAACTGCTTGTGAGAAAATGCATATACTCAAAATTGGGCATACAGTTGCATTTTGTATCTGGAGCTCTGACTAAACATTCCTAACACAGAATGTTTTGCTGCTGTTGTTTGTTCAATGAAGATCTAAAAATGCACGAAAGGGGAGTGGAGGTAATGAAATATGTTTTTAATACACACACACACACACACACACACACACACACACACAAAAACTATAAGGACAAAACTTTTTCCTCATAAGTGAAATACAGTTTTGGGAGACAGTTGTTATTACCCCTATTGCATAGGAGAATACATTAAGAATGAAACAATGCCTAAAACATAACAGTAGTTCAAGAAATACTGCAAATAAAGTGAAATATTGAACATATTTATTTTAGGTATAGAATTCCTTAGCAATTTCCAGTAAAGCTAAACATAGTCATGGCATAGACTGGATTCTAAGAAGAGTTTTCAATAACTCACCTAAAAAGTGTTTAAAGGTGGAATAAAGTATTTCTTTTGTAGAGAATCCATTCACAGACTTAATATATATTTTGCATGAAGCATGGTGTTTTTGCCTTCCTTCCTCCATTTCTTCCCCCACTTTTACCCAGTTTTTAAAAAAGAAAGGAAAACACTCTTCTTAGGCAAAAGTGATTTCTTTTGAGGAATTTTAGCACCCAGTATACATTATATTTTTTAAATCTTATAACTAGACATAAAATAATCCTTGCTTCAGTTATACAACATACTGTGTTATGGTTTTCACTCAACATGAACTTAAGACATCACCATTAACAAAATTCTATCTAAGCTACAGAAATGGTTTTTCAAACTATACACTATGCATGTGCTTTGAAATTGAGAAATCAAAACTCTATTTTAAATATATGGTAGAAGTGTAAAATCCCCAAATATTACTAAATCCATTCCAAGAAAAGAAATGCACAAGAAGCAGGGAAGATTCAAGAAAAGATGCATTCATAGGCATACACAGCTTACTTCCTTCTGAATGAAATCTTCAAACTTCATTTTTATTTTCCCCACATCCCTGACAAAATTGATGAAATATCTGCTCGCTGAGTCTTTTAATCTCATCAACATTAGGCTTTATGACAATTTTGGGTCTTGCAACAGAACACCAGTCCTAATTGTCTGGAGAACATTTTAGAAAGCCCTAAACATTTATTGAGATTGTGTGGTGCCATTATAAGTGCTTTACAGAAAACATGTCATTCAAACCTTACAAAAATTCACTGAAGGATTATTATCCCTATGATGCCCATGTCTCTAAAAATTTTTTTGCTATAGTTTCAACTCCTCTTCCTCCTAAAATAGTACTTTTATTTATTTATTTATTTATTTAGAGATGGAGTTTCACTCTTATTGCCCAGGCTGGAGTGCAATGGCATGATGTCAGCTCACTGCAACCTCTGCCTCCCGGGTTCAGGGGATTCTTCTGCCTCTTCCTCCCGAGTAGCTGGGATTACAGGCATGCACCACCACATCCAGCTAATTTTGTATATTTAGTAGAGACTGGGTTTCTCCATGTTGGTCAGGTTGGTCTTGAACTCCTGACCTCAGGTGATCCGCCTGCCTCAGCCTCCCAAAGCGCTGGGATTACAGGTGTGAGCTACCGCACCCAGCCTAAAATAGTGTTTTTAACATTAGCATGAAGACATATTTCCTAGGGATGTTTTAATTTGAAGGTGAGACTTTGAGGTCTGCACTTTAAACAAATTCTCCAGGCAATTCTGGTCAAGGTGGTCCACAGATCACATTTTAAAAAACATTATTTTAATGTTCAAAAATATCTAAGTACTTTTAATATCAAAATGAAATTTGTATTTTATTTGCTTTTTATGTTGTGACTGGTTCAGAGATTCAATTAAAATGAAATGGTCCCCTTATATAAAATATAATTTTAAAAATACAATACTTGCTTTCATATTTGCCTTTAAGATATAAACCCATCTTCCAAACTTATATTTTTATTCCTTAATCAGTGAGCCAGACTTCTTTTTAAATCTTTCTTTTGAGTCATACACCGGGTTCTAGCCATAGTAATTCTCTCAGATGTAAGATGAGCTTCAGTCCTGCCAGTGTGAGCAGTGTCATATGGAAAGCTTATTGATTTCTTGCAATTTTAGTTAGGTATATTGCTAACAGACTGCATAGGGAATGGCTGAGTAACATTCAGCAAATCCTATTTTCCTGTAAGTGGATTTTGTAATGTATTTCAGATTTGGAAGAAAGGAACTGTCATTCGCAGAAAAAGTTTGCTTTTCTCTTCACTTGGTGTTGATCACAATGCAATATGGCATATGTGGTATAGCAGTGTGTGATGATTCCTAGTCTCATTTCCTTTCTTCCTGTAACTTTAATATATTCTTTAAATCAGAAAACTTGTATAGATTTATTTTATCTTGATTTCAACTCTCTCTGATCATTTCTCTTGGAAAAGATTGGAGAACAGCAGTCTGAAAGGCATCTGAATTTGTAGATTTCTCAGGTAGGTAACTAAGAGGAATGCAGTGATATAGTTGTCATCAATACTGATGTGACATTCGGTGGTATAAACGGGGGTGTTCAGATCACTGGGGGCAATAGAGTAAAATAAATTCAATGATATGATGTAAATGTTTTTAAACAGAACACTTTCCACACTTTGGAAATCATTACAGAGGTATTTGTATTGCAATATCGTCTGGCATATTATGATGTCAGATAATATTATTTTCTTTATATTTGTTATTTTATTTTTCTTCTTTCTTTCAGTTATTATGAAAAGACTGTGCTTCTCAGACCCTCTTTGTGGTTAGCCAGGACCAGGTAATGTTCTTTGGTTAATGCATTTGAATAAATAACGTGTGTGTGTGCATGTGTGTATATATGTGTCACATCCAAGGAAGGAGTTTGAATTACCAGTGCAAAACTATGCTGCACTTATTTCTACCTGTCCTATTAATCGTGGAAGCAGGTGTTCACATGGTGCCCCCTCAACCTTTTCTCTTCTGAGTAACTGTGATGATCAGAGCCCTCTTCCGACTTAGGCTGAATAGGTAACTCAAAAAAGATCCACTTTAATGTATTAAGTGATTTGGCAGAGGGTGGTTACACTGCAGCATATCCTGATCTATGATGATTGACACCCATATGTTTTTCATAATCTTTATAAGAATTTTAATTTTGGGTTGCATTAGACACCACAAAAAACAATTGAAGACAGATAGGTATTATATTTTCAGGATTAACTATGCACTATTTATATTACTAAAGATTTTGGTGCTTTCTCCACTGGGAAACTATTGAAGCTGCTGAGAAAATTTGGCCTGAATAAAACACGTAAGGGAATGTTGATAGGTGATTTAAAATCTTAAAGGAAAACTGGGTTGAGAAAAAAAAAATAAAGATTGAGCATTACAATTTTGCAGAGGGTAAACCTATACAAATTAGTGGTATTCACAAAATATAAGTTCAAAGTGAGGGAAAATAATTTTTGTAACAATTATGCATGACAAAAATCATAATAGAGTATCTTGTGATATCTTGAACTTTTTTTCATCAGAAGTGGAATGGAGGGAAATACTGCATAGTCTTGCCTCATGGAAACAGTTTAACATAAGGCCAGGTGCGGTGGCCCATACCTGTAATCCCAGCATTTTGGGAAGCCGAGGCAGGCAGATCACCTGAGGCCAGGAGGTCCATACCAGCCTGGCCAACATGGTGAAACCCCATCTCTAGTAAAAACAGAAAAATTATCTGGGCATGGTGGCAGGTGCCTGTAATGCCAGCCAGCTACTCAGGAGGCTGAGGCAGGAGAATTGCTTGAACCCGGGAGGTGGAGGTTGCAGTGAGCTGAGATCATGCCATTGCACTCCAGCCTGGGTGAACAAGAGTAAAATTCCGTCTGGGGAAAAAAAAAAACAGTTTAATATAAACAGTTTAGATATGTGGGCTTGGGAGTGCACACAGGCTATTCCTTTGCTGTAATTTGTCCAAGATCATCTAACTAGTAACTGGGAATAGCTGGTTATTCTGATGCTATTCCCAATTACTAAGTAGGTGATCTTGGACAAATTCTCTAGGCCCAACTTTCTTCTCATATAAAATACTGTTAATTTTGATAATAGTGGTATCTACCCTGGTCTCATTACTGGGATTAAATGAGTGAAATCAGACAAAACACTGCAAACAGTAGCTGGCACAAGATAATTCATTAAGAATTCTTAGCTATTATTATTATTATTATATTCCCAAGAGAAGTTGAAGAGTGCAGATTTGAGAGATAGAATTAGTTGAATTCTACAGTCCTTTTGAAATTGAGAAGCAGTTTTCTGGTTCTTGAATAAGTCTATCAGACAGTAGTCCTAGAAACTAAAATTTTCCTTAAAAGTAGCATGTTGGGCAATCACTCAAAAAATTTGTCTTAGAATTGTGTAAAACTATGAGGATTTTTATTTTTAGGTAGAATTGAATTTACTTGGACTGTAATTATTGTGGAAGGCAGAATTCTAAGATGACCATCCCAAAATTTCTCACCCTAATCCTACACTATGAATATGATCTCTGCCCTTTGTTTTTATTCTGTGCTTTTTATTTTTACATTACATGGCATAAAAGGATTTTACAGATGTAATTAGCGTTACTAATCAGTTGACCTTAAGATGGGAAAAGTTATTAGAGTGGGCCTAGTTTAATTGTAGGAACTTTTTAAAAGCAGATAATTTCTCCAACTCATAGCAGAAGAAGCAGCAGGGGAATCTGAAGTATGAAGACAACTCTACATGAGGAAACTTGCTGTTGCTTGCAATATTGTAAAAAGACCCATAAGAAGTCCCATGGCAGGAAACTGTAAGCAGTCTCTCGGAGTTGAGAGTTGCTTAGCAGCCTGGAACAGAGGACTTCATTCCTACAATCACAGAGAACTGAATTCTGCCAACAATCTGCATGTGTTGAGAGGTAGATTCTTCCCCAGAGCCTCAGATGTAAAGACAGACATCTCATACTATGAGTGTGAGCCCCTGAGCAGAGGACCAAGTTTAACTCTGCTGGTCTTTGATACATGCAAATAAATAGCCACAGGTTCATGGAAAAAAGAGCAAGGGGTAATAAATGAGTGTGTTTTCTTTCTTTAAGGAACTAAGCTTGTCTTAGTTATTCAGCAATGGAAAACTAGTGCAGTCACTAAAAAATATGGAGGTCGAACTGATTTGGGAAAACAGTCATTTTTCATAACACTAAAATTAGCTAGACCACTTATTTTGGCAAGTGTGTGTGTGTGTATGTGGAGCTGACGAAAAGGACCAGTGTAATGTACCATAGACATCTATTTAGACAGAAATGGAAATCACTATTCTATTGAAAGTATTTTTCACAGAATCAGGAGTGAGTCACCATCTGAAAAAAACCTTGACCTTTTCACTATGAGATGCTAAACTATTTTTCACAAGATTTGATGCCTTATTGAAGTTTTTCTTTCTTCTATGTCTTCAAATGTGGATTACCATCTGCTAAATCATAGTTATGGTCAGTTGTGAATCTAGCATTTGAAGAAGCTTTCATATGAAACACCTCTTTCATATAAAATGCCTCTTTCATATGAAACATCTCTTATTTAAAACAAAACCACTATTTAAAGTTGCAGATTTGCACAGATTTTTATTTTATTTAGAGTATTAGCCAAGAATAAGTATATAAATTGGATTCTATTTGTATTCTCAATCAATACTTGGAGTACATATGATAAATAAAAAGACAGATTGGTTACTATAGTCAAAATTCGATACTTTTTGTATCTGTCTCACTGTGCTCCCCTCCATTTTTATTGATCCTATTTTTTATTTAAATGATTTTACTCTTGACATTTGAAATATATATACTACATTACTTTTATTTTGGTTTCTATATTAAAACATATTAAAATAATTTCATACATTTAAACATATCTCTTTAAAAATGAAAGTCCCAAACCAAAACTTATTTGGCAATGGTTGGGTATGGTGTCTCATGTCTGTAATCCCAGCACTTTGGGAGGCTGAGGCAGGAAGATCCCTTGAGCCCAGGAGTTCCAGATCAGCCTGGGAAACATAGGAAGACCCCATATTTACAAAAAATACAAAACTTAGCTAGGCGTGGTGCTGTGTGCTTATAGTTCCAGTTCCTAAGACTAGCCACCTTGGGAGGTGGGAGGATTGCTTGAGCCTGGCAGATCGAGGCTGCAATGGGCTGTGATTGTGCCATGATGCTCCAGCCTGCGTGACAGAATGAGACCTTGTCTCAACAAACAAACAAAAAGACAAACAAACAAACAAAACCTTAGTTGGCAATTATGATATATAGAATGCATTTCATTCATTTGGCTTGTTGAAAAATATAGACTGTGGCAACTTGTTGCCTCATTCTGGAAAGACCATTTTCTTCCAACCTAGAAAAGTCTTTAAAGTCTGACCACAAGAATGCTTCATGTAACAGATGTGGATATTAATAATCATAAGTATGAATTGATTTTCCAGTGGTTAACCCTTGGCAGATTTAAATATAGATTTTTAATTTCTTTTAAATTAAGTGTAGTTTCTATACAGCATTTTATGTTATCTTGACAGAAATGTTCTGCTGATACTACTTAGTTAAATTTTCTTCTTATTTAGTAACATAACTTTCCTGGTTCATAGATGAAGTCCATGTGGCATCATGTGGCTTTAGGTTCTCACAGAAATCCTTTACATGCTGTCAGACGAGCGGCTTCAAGACGGCCACAGAACATGCGAGATCTAAAACTGGTGCCCAGCCACATCTTCTGACTTTCTGTGGCTCTAAAAATCTGTGGGGAAGTATGATAACTTGTTCTTAAATTGGGGTTCCATTATGTTCAGACACCAAAGGGACCTGATTGTTAAAATTTGGTCCCCTGAAGAAAATAGTAAGCAAATTAAGTTAGTGTGAAAAAATTAGTGGCAAATTCGGAGTGTTCAATATCCATGAGCTACAATGTGAGGTTGTGTGTGACACCCAAACTAACTGCAATCTCACCAGCTTTTTTTTTTTCCTTCTGTAATTTCTATTCTATGAAAAGGAGAGGTTAGTGTAATAAACACACAAACACAGACACACAAATACATAACCACAAACACACACAGTGGGAAATATCTAGGAAAGAGCTTATTACAAAAAGCCAAAGGGAGAAAGTTGTCAAATGATTAGTGTTCAAGAGAAGGTCACCAGTGACTGGAGGAGCAACAGATGCACCTCAGAGCAAAAGTGGGCACAGAGTTGAGGGACGGTGAGAAAAGTAGATAGTGGAACAGAGGGAGAGACACAGTGCCACAGATAGAAGTTCTGATCATATTTGAAAATCCCCACCTTCAATCTCTTATGAGAAGAGAGAAAAATTGCGAAAGAAATCTGGAGACAATGCTGGAATCTCTGCTAATTAAGTCCAATACGATAGAATTTGTTGTGTTTCTATCAATATGTATTCCCTTGCACTAGCAGGTAAGGTCAAGGAGATAGGTAGTATGACATAAAAATGATAACTTTTACATCGTAGATAAAAAACAAAAACAAAACCAGAAACCAGAAATTAGCTAAGGGAAGAAAATAGTTACATAAAATCTACACCTAAAAATATCTACTGTTGACATATTAATGTATCATCTTTTTAGCAAATACCCATTCTCATTGATCATTTTTCTTTGGGAAATATTCAAAATGGGATTATGCTATATATATATAGTTTCATAACTTGATTTTTCCAATAATATACAATGGGCCTCTCTTTATGTTGTTCAATATTATTTCTGCAGCATGACTTTCCTATTTCTATTGTATTC